TTGTGGCGAGTCCCGCGGCCTGCACTGGGTTGCTCTGTCTAGAGCCCCAGGCTGTTGAGGGGTGCCTGTGACGGGTAGTGGACTTCAGGCCACCCTCCATCCTGGGGAGCCTGCCTGCTGTCCCTTCTGGTGGTTCTGACTTGTGACAACAAAAGCCACTGCACAAATATGGTGTTCCTGGAGGTGGGGCCCACTGCCTCCAGGCTGGGGAGGTGACAGCAACAGTTTTAACTACAGCGGGTGGGCAGATCAGCTGATGGGAGCCTGCTTGCTGAAGCTCCTTCCTGTTTTCTGGTCAGCACTGCGCAGCAAGGCTGCAACCCGTGCCTGGGGTGGGGGTGCCCGGCAACACCCAAACCTCAGAACAACTCGACTTCTCCTTTCGGGGAGCTGAGAAAAGTCCTGATCGACACAGCAAGTTGTGCCGATTTGGGTCTTCCTCGGCCTGGCCCGGGGGGAGAGAGGAGATCTTTCACCAAAACGCAGGGAGACTGGGCTCAGGCCACGTTCCAAGCCCAGTCTGGCCGTGGCTACCTGTGGGGTGGCCTGGGGAATCCACTTGTCGTGGGTTCATCTGTTGAGCCCCCCAAGAGATATGTCAAAGTCCCGACCCCTGTAAGCTGCGAATGTGACCTTTGCAGAAGGGATCTTTGCAGATGTAATTAAGGTAAGAGTCTCAAGATGAGGTCATCCTGGATTTAAAGTAAACTCCAAGTCCAACGACAAGCGTCCTCATCAGAGAAGGAGCGAGGGATTAGAGACACACACAGGAAGGGAGTGCAGACGAAGGTGGAGGCAAGGACTGGACTGATGTGGCCACAAGCCAAGGAATGCCAAGGACCACTGAAGCCACCAGAAGCCAAGAGAGGCCTGGGATGGATTCTCCCCTAGAGCCTCCAGAAACAATCAGCCCTGACAACACCTGGAGTTCAGACTTCCAGCTCCCAGCACCGCAAGGGAATAAATTCCCGTTTGTTTTAAGCCACCCAGTTCATGGCACTTTGTCACAGCCACCTTAGCAAACTCGCACATCCATGTGTCTCTTTGGGGCTCAGTTTTCTCATCTTTAAAGTGGGCAGATCTGCTGTGAGGACTCAGAGAAAGGATGGATGAAAACCGTGAAGCTCAAAGCCCATCACCCAGTGGGCCTGAAGGGAAGACAAATCGTTACTTTTGTTATTAGAAAACGACCTTGGCTTGGCGCCGAATGGCTGGAACTTAATAATATCTAAATGCTCAGTGCGGGAAACAAGCAGTGACTGCGTCCTGTGGGAGGACTCAACGGCAGCGGTTCTCACCCACTGGTGATTCTGTCCCCAGGGGACACTGGTAATGCCTGGGGACATTTTTGGTTGTCACATCTGTGTGTGTGTGTGTGCGTATGGGGTGCTACCGGCATTTGGTAGGTGGAGGCCAGGGATGCTGCTCGACACCCTCCGAGGCACAGGCCACCCCCACCCCGGAGACCGGTCTGGCCTAAAAGGCCAGCAGGGCTGAGGCTGAGAAACCCAGCTCTCGGCTACGACAACCGTATCCCTTTGCAAACAGTCACCCTAGGAAGCACGTTTATTGCCATGACGTGGATTTGGCTGGAGTCCGGTTTGGAACCCAGTCTGGGCACCACCCTCCCTAAAGCGGCTTGGAACCGCCGGAGAAAACTGGCCTCGCTGCCTCCTGCTTCTGAGGCCCCGAGGAGGCAGCCCAGTGAGATCAGGCATCTGACTCACGGAGGGTGACTAACCGCCGTCGACGACATCCAGGAGAGTCTGCAGACGTGGAGGCTGGAGCGAGCTTTGCCGGCCACCAGGGGAGAAATGACAGGCCCCCTGGAATATCCGCTGAGCTGGGGCGGCCCTCTGTGACCCTAGCACCAAATGCCACCAACTGGTACTCTATGGGGGCTGCTGTGGGCTGACTTGTGTCCCACCCCCCGCCAAAAAGCTACGTCTACATCCTCACCCCCGGAACTTGTGACCGTGACCTTATCTGGAAATAGGGTCTTCGCAGGTGTGATCAGGAGCAGCTCCTGCTAGAGCAGCACGGCCCCACACCCAGTGAGCGGCACCTGCATTCCAAGAGAACCAGGCGAAGACACACACGCGGGAAAACAGCCTGACAACAGAGCCTGCAGTGATGTGCCCACAAGCCAAGGAATGCCTGGAGCCACCAGAGAAGCTGGAGAAGCCCACAAAGGATCTTCTCCTGGAGCCTCAGGATGGAGTGTGGCCCTGCAGACGCCTTGGTTTTGAACTCTGGCCTCCAGAACCGTGCGTGAGAGCATCAGTTCCTGCTGCGCGAGGCCCTCGAGCCTGTGGTACTGTGTCACGGCAGCCACGGGACGGTGCAAGGGGGTGGCGCCATGGAGGAGGCAGAGTGCTGGGGAGACTGTGGAGACTGAACTGAGACCCAGGTGGCAATCCTGCCTTCTGGCTGTGTCGAATTGAAACCTCAGGGTCAGGTGTGTCACCTCTTCGGGGCTCAAGGTGTTCGCCCACCTGTGTGCTTCCATGAGGACCCATTTGGCAAAACACCTGACTTGGTAAATGTGGGGTCCGTCCTCTCATTTCCACACTGAACTTCCAATGTCACTGCTTTACCCTGGGTGGGGGTGCCAGGCACAGACGCGGATGCTTTGGCCTACAGCTGTCATGACCCCTGTCCATCTGGTGGGAAGACAATGGTGCCATTAGTGGCTTCACCGGGGCTGAGTCCTGGAGCTGGGACGAAGCACAGTGGCCACATGACCCCATGAGCTGGGTCATATCCCATCTCTCCTCAGAACCTCCACAGCTCCCATGTTACCCAGAGTCCTCCCCGAGCTCCACCTGGGAAGACCTCTGTGTGGCCACCACAGAGCCCGGTACCTGTGTCAGCACCTGGCACACAGCAAATGCGTGCACAGTGTTTGTGGGATGAATGGATGATCTGAATAGGTCAGGTCAGCACACATGGCGGGTGAACCATATAAAAATGGAAAACATATATCCTGTGGCCAAACTGCTCAGCAGTTTCTACAAATTCTATTCAAAAAAATGACAATGACCGTTTATATTACTTATATGGGAGAAAACAGAAATAGGCGACACATGTTGGCCCAAGGCTAGGTCTTACGATCCCCAACCATTGTCTTGCTGATGGTCTTGGAGAACAAGAGGAACCGAAACGTGGTCCCCAGGCCTGCCTAGATGGGATTTCAGACAAGTTGCACGGCAGCCCTCAGCTTGTGGGCATGGGCAAGAGGCCAGAGGTCAACACTTCCGGGAAGGTGGGGTCTCCCCACACCCAACCTCCTCCCACCACGGAGCGGGTGTCTCAGCATGCACGGACGATGAAACTGTGACACGTCCATGTAATGGGCCATTATTCAGCAATAAGAAGCGAGCTCTCAAGTCACGAATAGACACGGAAGAACCTTCAATGCACACTGCTAAGTGAAAGAAGCCAATCTGAAAAGCCTCCACACAGGCTGGGTGCGGTGGCTCACGCCTGTAATCCCAGTGCTTTGGGAGGCCAAGGTGGGAGGACTGCTTGAGGCCAGGAGTTCAAGATCAGCCTGTGCAACACAGTGAGACCCAGTATCTACAAAAAATGAAAAAAAATCAGCCAGGTGTGGTGGTGCATGCCTGCAGTCTCAGCGACTGAGGAGACTGAGGCAGGAGGGATGGCTTGAGCCCAGGAGTTTGAGGCTGCAGTGAGCTATGATCAAACCACTGCACTCCAGCCTGGGTGACAGAACAAGACTCTGTCTCTTGAAAAAAAACAAAAAAGGGCTACATACTGTATGATTCCAATTAAAGGACATTCTGAAAAAGGCAAAACTATGGAGACAGTGAAAAGGTCAGTGCTTGCCAAAGGTCAGTGGGGAGGCAGATGGATGGGTGGAACACAGGGGATTGCTGGGGCAGCGACACTGCCTGTGTGACGCTGTGGTGGGGAGACAAGTCATTACACATCTGTCCAAACCCACGAAATGTTCAACACCAGGAGCGAAACCTAATGGAAACTCAGGACTTTAAAAACCCATGGACCCCAAACCCAGAGATGCAGTCCCCTGAGGCCACAAGGTGCCTGGCCCTGACCAGGCGACGGTGGCTATGCTATGTTCTGAGACACAGGGAGGCATCTTGCCCAAAAACCCCCGGGGTGAGGAGGGATGCTATGTGGTCACTTCCGCCACCCTGCAGCCATAGGCTCATCCATAGGGTGTTGGAGAGTGGGCAGAGGGCGTGGGAGGCTGTGTGGTCCCTCCTGCGCTGCCCCTGTGGTGCCACCAGGCAGCACCCCGCTCTGTGGCCACACCTGTCCCCCCAACCCCCTGGGCCTGCCATATGCCTTGCGGGCTTCCTGCCAGCCTGCTGGCCCCGGAAATGCCTCGCTACGAAGCATTCCTTGAACCACTCAGTTTGAGGATGCCGGCGTTTTCTTTCCAGGACCCTTTAGTCGCTGAAGGTGTATTAATCACACTTTTTATTTTCTGTATTCCTGATACTCTGACGTCTGCGGCCTGGCTGGCCCCTCCAAATGTCAGCCAATTCCCAGAGACAGCCCAGGACTCGCCTTCCACGTGCAAAACGAGCGATGGAGAGCCCACACCCCGGCCACCTCCTCAACTGGCTCTCACACTCCAGGCCACTATCCCTCTGCCCTCGCCACTGCAGGCCCAGACACCTGACGACGAGGGGTAGCCCCTGTGCACCAGAGGCCACCGAAATGCTTCAGCCAAGCCTGCTTTCCCTGCCCCACCGCTCCTTCGCACGGACACCACAATAAAGTGTCCTGCCGCGTCCCCCCAGTGCCTCCAGACCTCGGTGCTCCCCCCGTGGCCACGCACGGTACTGCACCCCACCCTCAGCGCAACTCTGAGTACCAAACTCTCCTTCCAAGGCCGTCCTCTCTCGACCTGCTGTCCTCGCCCTACCCGAACAAGGACGACAATCACAAACCCTCTGTTTTAAAAACAAAGGCCCCGTCCACCAAATGCCCGGCTTCCCCCCACTCACCTCCAGCACGGGGCCGGCGCCCAGGATGGTCCTCTCCACACCGCTGGCATAGCCCTTCTGGCTGAGGGCAGTGAGGCAGTGAATGAGGAAGTTGGTGCTCTGGGTCTTGCCGGAGCCGCTCTCGCCCGAAATCACGATGCACTGGTTCACCCGCTTTCGGAGCATGGCGTAGTAGGCCACGTCGGCCAGCGCGAAGACGTGCGGCTCCAGCCTGCCGAGCTGCTGGTTCTCGTACATCTTCACATACTTGGGATTGTAAATGGGGAGGAACTTGAAGGGGTTGATGGCCACCAGGATGCTTCCCGCGTACGTGTAGATCTTCTGCTGCAGGAAGCGGTGCTTCAGGTTCTTCAGGAGGTTGTCCTCGGTCAGCTTGGGGAGGTTGCACAGGTCGTCAAAGTCTGCCTGCTGCCGTGGCAGGAGGCCGCGCTCCACCAGGCGCCGGGTGGCCGTGGCCTGGGCCACCAGTTGCATGTGCACGTACTTGATGGTGCCGTCTGCGTTGCGCTCCTGCAGCAGGAAGTAGTAGCCGTCCTCCTGCGGGTGCTCGTCCTGAGCCCGCCGGGGCCACAGCAGCACGCGGTGCACTGGTGAGTCGTTGGCATCCAGCACCCACTCCTCGCCACCCGACTCCTTGACCTCCACCAGCACGTAGCACTTGGTGCCGTCCAGGCGCAGGATGGCAATGGCGTCCTGGATGACATCTGACGTGGTGCTGTCCTTGGTGGCGGTCACGCAGCACGAGGCCTGGCTCTCGGTGGACAGCTGTGGGTAGATGTGCAGGTGGTAGGCCGCCTGCTCCTGGCGGCCGGAGCTGCCCGCCTCTTTCACACTCATTCTGCCGGCAGCCCGGCTTCAGCATGCCTCCCGGGCTCAGGGCGCGTGTGTCCTGGAGCTGGAAGGGAGGTCAGAGTCAGGCAAGGTCAGAGTGACAGGGAAGAAGGGTGTTGGGCAAGGCCAGAGTCCCCTGTCCCTGACTGGGCTCTCTCACAAAGCCAGAGGCCACCAGCCAAGGTGCCTCTGCCACTTTGGTTTGTATATATTTTTTAAGAGACAGGGTCTTACTCTGTCGCTCAGGCTGGAGAGCAGTGGCATGACCATAGCTCACTGCAGCCTCAAACTCTGGGCTCAAGTGATCCTCCTACCTTAGCCACCCAAAGTGCTGGGACTGTAGAAGTGAGCCACCACGGCCAGTCCTTCTGTCTGTCCTTAAGCGTGACCTCCGACCCAAAGACTGTGGCTCTCCTGGGTGACATCTCCAGACACCCCCACCCCTCCAGGCCAGCCCTGCCCCTGAGTTTGCTCCATCCTAGCCCTGCCCAGAGGCAGCCTCTCAACCCTGAAGTCCAACAGCCATGGCCATCTCTCTCTGCTGAGCCTTTCCCAGCCCACATCCTCCCTGGCCCCTCACCTCTGACAAAACGTCCCCTGGCAGCTCCCCAAGCAGGTGAAAGCTCAGCCCCACAGGCCTCGGCAACACACCAGGGGCAGCGAGAGTTGTAAGAGGATGGATGAAGAGTGAACCTGCCCCAAAACCCTGGATCCCCGAAACCACAGGGTCCTCGAAACCTAACCGAGGAGGATGAAGTCAGAGAGGCCACCAGGAAGGCGCTGGAGAGAACAGCTCAGAGCACATTTGCTTCTCGAAGCCACAACTCCAGTCTGCTGGGGACAACATCAGACAGGCCCTGAGTCGGGCCTCCTACAGGGCGACTGGCCAGGGCTTCCAAGACTGCCAAGGTCATGGGCAGCCAGGAAAGATCAGCAGCCGTCCCAGGCTGGAGGAGACTCTCAATGCAGTGGGTGTCCTGGAAAGGATCCCCGACTCGAGAGGGGACACGAAGGAAGAACTGGTGACACCCAAACGACGCACGTTAGCCATAGCTGATATTGAGTAATTTATACCAGTTAGTATGAAATAATAATATCAACAATAAGACTGGTTAACAGCAATGTACCTACATCAATTTCTTTTTTTTAAAAATTTTTAAATTATTTTATCTATTTATTTTTTCAGAGAAAGGGTCTTGTTCTGTTGTCCCGGCTGGTGAACTCCTGGGCTAATGTGATCCTCCCATCTCAGCCTCCCAAGTAGCTGGGTCTAGAGGACACCAATAATTTTTTATTTTCTGTAGAGACGATGTATCGCTATGTTGCCCAGGCTGGTCTCCAACTCCTGACCTCAAGCGATCCTCTCGTCTTGGCCTCCCAATGTGCTGGCATTACAGGCGTAAGCCACCACACCTGGCAGAAGCTGATGTCAACTTACTCGTTGTGACTAACGTGCCCTGATGAAATAAGCTGTTCATATTCTGGGAAGCTGAGTGTGGGGTATGGGAGGCCCTCTGTAGTATCATAACTTTTCTGTAAATCTCAAGTTATTCCAACAGAAGAGGTTTATTTTTTTAAAAATGCATTTGCTTCCGAAGGTCACAGGAAAAAGAAAACGCACCTGAAGCTGGTGACAGCCTGTCTGGGGTCTTGGAGCAAGAGGCATAAATGCAGCATGATGAACAACCAAGGATGGCAGAGGGTACGAAGGTGAGCGAGACCCTGGCTCAAAGCCCAGCAGGAGAGGCTGGTGTGCAAACAAACCTGAGAGCTGTCAAGTGTGACAGTTAAATGGCACACGCCAGGAGCCATTATCCCTGAGGGCCAGGACACTGGCAGCAACATCTAAGAGGGGTTCTGAGGGATGAAGAGGAGTTCATTCATCAGGCACACAGAAGGACGGAGGAGGGTGTGATAGGCCCACGGCCTGTCTTTATAAATAAAGCTCTGCTGGAAGGCAGTCTTACCCATTCATTCACATCTTGTCTGTGGCTGCTTTCGCTACAATAGCAGAGAGGAAAAGTCATGTCCGAGACTGTGATATCCCGCCCCGGAAAGCCTAATGTAAGTACCGTCCAGCCCTTCACAGAAAACGTTGATGACCTGTGCCCTAACCGAAACCTGACTGGGCAGGGCCACGAGAAGCTGAGACGATCCAGGTTCTGGGAGGAGAGGCCCGCAGCAGTGTCAGGAAGGTGGAGGAAGGCGGAGGCTGAAGGAAAACTGTGACTTATGAGGCCGCCACAGCCGTGCACAAGCGGGAAGGACGGCGACAACAGAAAAGGTTGGGGGAGATGAAATACTGAATCTCCAAAACTTTTCCCCAAGCCAGGCGTGGTGGCCCCACCTGTAATCCCAGCAACTTGGGAGGCTGAGGCAGGAGGATCTCTTGAGTCCAAGAGTTCAAGGCTGCAGTGAGCTGTGATCGTGCCACTGCACTCCAGCCTGGGCGACAGAGAGAGACCCCTTCTCTATAAAAAAACAAAGAACCTCCCCATCCAAAACAACAACAAAAATCCCACCACTTTCCCCAAAATTACTAAGTGATTGCAGTATATTTTTTTCAACTGACTAGATACATGCTATATTTAGTCTAATAAAATTTGGACTGTATCATACATTTAGTTGTAAATTCTAACTCTCAATATGTTAGTACATGTGAACGTTTTCTGGGTGGACAGATAAACTTTCACAGAGCGGTTTTTCAATAGCCCCTCGGGACACGACAGCACACAGAGGACTCACAAGGCATGCGGTCGCTCTGCTACTACTCGGCACTTGGTTTCCAACTTCTGGTGACCGTTCAGCGATTGTCCTGGAACACACGTCCTTCCCTGCATCTCTGAGGGCTTCCTCACGGTCCACTCTTTCACGTGGAATTAGAAAAATGGATACAAGCGTTGTTAAGTCTCTTGGTTCGAAGAGTCACATCACCCTTCGAAAAAACTCCATGAAAGGAGGCAGCTCATCCCCTTTGGAAAACACTGTGGCAGCTTCTTTAAACGTTCAATATGCACCTAGCGTGCGGCCAGGCAATTCCACTCTCGGAGTTACTCAAGCGCAATGACGCAGATGCCCGTACAGAAACGGGGACGTTCACGGCAGAAGTATTTCTAAGAGCCCCAAGCTGGAGACAACCTGAACGTCCGTCAAGCGGTGAACAGGTGAACGAACCGACCCCACAGGGGAAGGAACCGACCTCTGATACTCGCCAACGACATGCAGCGAACTCAGAATCGCTGTGCTGAGCGGAAGGAGCCTGACAAAAAAGAGGACAGACAGACCCAGCAACTCCGCTCCTGGGAACGGACCCCAGAGAACTGAAAACAGGGACTCAAATTCCTGTGCACCAGTGTTTGCAGCAGGACTATTCCCAACTACCAAAAACTGGACACAGCACAAATGTCCGCCGGCAGATGAACGGATAAACGAAATGGGGTCCGTCCAGGACGGAACGTTACGCAGCTATAAAGAGGAACGAGGCACCGGTCCCTGCTATAACGTGAACGCACCTCAAAAAGATTACACCGAGTGAAAGAAGCCAGACACAAAGGCCACACGGTGCGTGATGTGATTTACATGAAATGTTCAGAACAGGCAAATCCGCAGACACAGAAAGCAGATCAGTGGTCGCCAGGGGCTGGGGGAGGGGGAGAGGGCGTGACTGCTAGCAGGGACCATGTTTCCTCCTGCGTGATGAAAATGCTCTGAAATCAGGTAGAGCTGGCGGTTGCACAACATTATGAATACACTAAGTGCCACTGATTCGTATGCTTTGTTTGACTGCGCGCTTTAAAGAGTGAATTTTATGTTATGCGACTTCCCCTCAAGAAAATGTTATTAATACAAAGAGTCCATACTGTAGGATGCCATATATATAAAATTCTGGAAAATGCAAAGTAACCTATAGAGGCAAAAAGCTGACTGTGTCTGCCTAGGGGCAGGAGGTGCGGAGGGATGACAAGGGGTCTGGGACGCTTTCTGGGGGACGGATGTGTCCACCACCTCGGTCGTGGTGGTGGGCTTACAGCTGTTTGCGCAAGTCACAACTCAGCAAATCGCACACTCCTGGTGAGTATGGTTTATTACGTAACAATCACATCTCGATAGAAATGCTTAAAAATTATGACAATTATGACAGAACCCACTTCCCTGGGAGTTTATCTTTTTAAAACTTCTTGCTCTATTTTCAAAATGTTCACCCCTTGAGCCGGCACTGAGTTCCTGGGACAGCACAGCGAGGGAATCCTTGGGAATCGTCAAGTGCCTCAGGGGTCCAAAGGCGCTACGTGGCGCTGCTCGCCTGGCCGTCCCAGGACACGAGGACGGTTAATCACGGAATGTTCCTGGGCAGTGTCATAGGGCCACAGAAGGTGGACAGAGGTTTGCGTGCTTCCCAGCCAGGTGAGAAATCAGAGGTATGTGCCTTGATGGCAGCTGTACGAAGGCATAGGTGTGTGCCCAGGCACGTGTGCTTACGCCCGCTTGCACGCACAGACAGGCCGCACACACAGGAACACACCCATGCTCGTGCACGTATACACACAGCACACACGTGCATAGTCACATACATGGTTGTACACCCCATGTGCTCGCATCCACACACACACACACACACAAGGCCACAGGCATGAATGGACACACACTCATGTGCAACATACGCAGAAAAATGGACGTATGCATGCACAGCCACACACGCTTGTACACAAACACATCTGCACGCACACACCTACACGGGCGTGCACACACACACACGCACAGACCTGGGTTCAGGCAGAGCTGGCCCCTCCTGTGACTGGCACTTGTGTGACAGGGGCTCAGTCCAGCTTCCAGCCAGCGGGCTTTGTGCTGTCTCACGGCCAAGCTGCCCAGACGCAGCAGCAGGGAGGTCACACTCTTGTGCCTACTTCTTCCTTCGCAGCAGAGACCAATTCTGAGCGAGAAGCCACAGAAAGCCCAACAGACCTTTCTCCTGCTCCCTGTGGCCTCAGCCACCTGCCCCGAGGGTCCTATGCCCGGCTGCACTTGGGCTCAGGGCCGGAACATCTTCAGGAACAGAGGCCA